TTAAACCAAGTTAAGGTCAAACTGGAATTTTCATGAGGTTCATAAAACTATGTGTTGTCCCTATTCTTCATGTAAATGTTGAGCCACTGATGCAACAGTACAAACTACTGATATTGAATAAGGTTTAAAGGGAAAATGAGGTTTCTTTTGGTGAAACGGAATGGTAGACTGCACTAAAGCCAAGCACTCTGAAGAGATGAGCGTGATTGAGGAGCTTGAAACAAGGTAACATTTTAGGATAAGGAAGCAACACAAGGAGAAAAGATGTAAAGGACCTATCATGATGTTCTCTATTAGCCTAGCAATAAATAATGTCCAAGTTAATTTTGTGAATGCCTTCTAAAATATTTGTTAATTATCATGCAGACTGACAGATTCCAATTTTGCCCTTTTGGGGTTTTTTTGGCTATGCATGACACAGTGGAAATTCTTATTCATAGAATGAAAATTAACTCTTAATAGTGTTTAAGAAGAAAACCAAAGCTGTGCTACTGGTTAAATAAGGATAAGTAAGCACTGAAGTACAGTGGTGGAAGGAAAGATGCCTGCATTGAATTAATACAGTATGACAAACCAAACTCAGAAACCTAGTTTGGTCTGCAGTAATGGTAAATCAACTACAGCGTTAAATGAAACAGAAGACATTTCAAGAAGTTACAGATAATTTTCTTCACACAAGTTTAAGAACTTTCAAAAAAAACATATTAGTTATTATTGCCAATGGTTAATTGCGTGTACTTGCACAGTACCAGGTCCAATGCATTCTGTGCCATAGGGCTTACAGGTTTTAATGGATTCTAAGCCACATAACACAAAGAATAATGACACCTCCAAGTACAAGACCATGACATGTTCTGTCAAATACTGCTAAACTCAGTTTCACTACCTTTTCTTCTAACCTGGGGGGAGGGGAGGGGGGGAATAGAAAAAGTAGAGTTAATCAGAGAATTTTAAAATACGGCATTGCCATTAGCCCACACGCTTTCAGCCCCCTTGAAACTTGTGGGATTATCAAGTGGTGACAAGAGCAGCTCTGTCAAGCGAGAAGGTGCACCTGCTCCCTCTTGGTATGTACACTATCTAGTTCAAGTATGATACTAATCCCTTGTCCTGGTCAAAATGAAGACTGTATCGTGTTTCATATACTTTAATTTCTACAATATCACTCCTCTTCTTTCTCTTTTTACCACTTGAATACGTTATTAATAACAAATTTGTGGAATTTACTTGTAAGTGGCATCTAAGACATTTTTCATAGTTTGGACTTATTTCTCACTACCCGTAAGAGTTACTATAATGTTTCTTTTTAGATAAAGATTTTATTTTATAAACAGTACAAATTTAAAATTTATTTTAAATTTTCTTTCTTTATAACATAAAATTTGTGCTATCCTTTTTTTTTGGCACTGTGCAACTGTCTTGCCTGGCAAAGCGAGGATGGTATTTAGGGAAGGCTACTGATACAATTCTTTATTTTTCCACGCTACGACTGCTACCGTCACAATGCATGTCAGGTTTTTGGTTTTTTTTTTGAGGAATATGGTAACAGCATTCTCTTCAGATTCACTCATTCTATTTTCATTCACACATTCTCTCAATGATCTGTAAAAGTTCCTAATTTTTTTTTTTAGTATGTGCAATGAGAATTTTTAAAGAGTCTGTTAATTATTAGCTTGCAGTTATCAACCCTAGCTACAAACATGTCCAACAAAACCTTTTCAGAAATCATTTCACTTTTTGTACTATTCTCACCCTGTGACCCCGTACACGATGCCCTACACAAGTACTTCTATCCACTGCCACTCTTTAGCACGTTCACAGATCTTGCTGCACATCGTGGCATCTTGATGACAAGCTTTTACTTGCAAGAGCAAAGAAGCGTGAAAGAGGACAAGACAAATCTCTGAGTCTAGGCAGGAAAAGAGGCACATCCACTACTGGAGCGCAGGGGAGAACAGCACCACAGGGACAACTACTAGGCTCATTTTATAAGCCACACTAGCTTAACCTGGCTGTTGGAAACACAGCACCGGTGTACACCACTGCAGCCAAGACTAGATCTACCGATCATGAGGATCCTAAGCACTCACGTGACACCACGCTATCTTTCAGCTGGGAGGTGAGCAGTATGAATGAGGCCACTTCACTAGCTGGCCCATACCACAAGCCTCCCTACCTTCTCTCAAGCAATAACTCTCTGCGAAAAATACACCTGTGCTTCTGGACTCCTCTTCTATTTGTGCAGAGCAGAGATGTTTCTTCTGCACTGGTGACTAATTGCCTCATCTCTTATACCTTGACCCATAGTGACTCATTAATTAGTCTTAATGACCAATGTGCCTTATGGAGTTTTGTTCTGTGGTTGTTCATTTTCACCCCATGACATAACAACACAGTTGAGTAAAGCACAGGTAGACTTGGGGCACTACAAACAGTAGCTGGCCTAGAAGTTGTCTACAGTGACTTTGAAAGACAAACATAGCCCTGGTATGCCAAGAAACGTCTAACCAACGTATCCTCAAGGGCAGTCCTGTCAACAGACATTGTGAATACTCAGAAATCTGACCTCAAATTTATCCGTGAGCACCCTCTTACAGACAGAGCTATGTGAATACAGCCATGAAAAACGTTAGTCTTAGGTTCCCCAGGAATACTAAACAAAGGATGAAATTTCTGTCTCCAAAAGATATCACAAAAGTCAACACATCAGCTGAACACCATTTTTAAGACTGAAGTTTATAGGACCTATGTTGGCACAAGGCACAGGAGAAAGGTCACTATTTGAATAATTAAAAAAATACTAACTTTGCTATTAACCTGTGGAGTTTTTTACATTTTTTCACGTGTTTGACACCTGAAAAAATGTGTCATTTTTTTGAAACGGAATGGTAGACTGCACTAAAGCCAAGCACTCTGAAGAGATGAGCATGATTGTGCGTCATGATGTCCCACCCAACAGTAAAAAAAATTGAAGTTGATCCTCTGAATTCTGTTTGTAGATCATTCTTCAGATAAAGATCTGCTGATTTTATTAGAATAAGAGATAAAATGCTTTGCATTTATAAACTCTGAATTTTAGTGAATAAAGAAAAAACATGCAGATAGCTAGTGGTAACATGGCATTGAACTTCCATTTTCCCTACAAAAACCTACACTGTACATAAAACCATTACTTCCACTCTGACAAAAACTGAAGTTCTTCCTTTAAATTATGAATTACAGTAATCATTTTACACACAGGGACATGAAAAATTTTGCACTGAAACCTTGAAAACCTTGCCTGTTACCCAGTTAAGACTAGGTTAGCAATCATATTTACCAAACAGGAATGGATCTGACAGAGCAGCGCTAATTTCTTCAAAATTACCATTTAGCGCAAAAATATAGGAAGATTTTAACAAAAGACTCAAAGATTGTATTTTTCTGTTAGTGGGAAATATATAATTTTGGGGTTTTTTTTGTGGGGGGTTTTATTTTTACTGTTTGTTAAACTACATAGACTCTTAACTGTTTAGAATGGAAAAGATTTTTTGATCATGCTGAAATTACTCTTACAGCTTATTTACTAAAACAAGTTAAATATTTATGTAACCATTTCAGTCAAAACCAAAAGATTTGTGGTAGGATATAACTTTAGCATTTTTTTTTTTTTTTACAGCAGCCTTAATTCTTAACTAGTTACAGGTCTCTGATGTTTGGCATTTCAATATTTTGTTGATAAAGGTATGCAGTGCTGTACAAAACATAAAAACTTTATATACTCCAAGAGCAAATTACTTCCCTTCCCACTTGGGAATAGTTTATTTTTAATGCTGTTTTTAAGTTTTTAATTCTTCATGGGTTCTAGGGCAATTTTGAATTATAACATACATATTTAATAGTAATGTCATCCAGGGAAATATTTTCTGGGGTAGAGATAATACATACACATTAGTAGTAATACATACAAAAAAAAATATCTAAGAGGACATACACGATACAGTTAGCTGCTGACTGACCTATAACTAATTATATAGGCTGCTCTTCTCATCAAACTACAAGCCCACCTGCATTGCCATGAACTGCCCTTCACCTGGCTCATGAGCACCACAGCCACCTGCCTGCTGCCTGTGCCCTCACACCAAACAGAAACCCAGCACAAGCATCTGCCCCTCCAGAATGAGCCTCCCAAACACCACCACTTCTCCACCAGCAGGCCCTTTCTTGCAACGCTACAAGCTCACCTAAAAACCGCACCCATGACCAACCATCCAAGCAGCTTGTGAATAACCCCTGCACTCTGCTTCCACCTGCACTGCCCTCACAGAAAGTTAACACATGGTACAGGTATTTGCCCGTAAAAGCAGCATTTCCCCTCTGTATTGGGTTTGCGTGGCAAGGTTTTGGTAGCAGAGGAGCTACAGGGGTTGCTTACGTTAGAAGCTGTTAGAAGCTTCCCCTATGTCTGATAGAGCCAATGCCAGCCGGCTCCAAGATGGACCTGCTGCTGGCCAAAGCTGAGCCCATCAGCAGCAGTGGTAGCACCTCTGGGATATCATATTTAAAAAGGGGGGAAAAAAACTGTGCAACTGCAGTGAAGAGAGGAGTGAGAATATGTGAGAGAAACAACTCTGCAGACACCAAGGTCAGTGAAGAAGGAGGGGGAGGAGGTGCTCCAGGCACCAGAGCAGAGATTCCCCTGCCACCTGTGCTGAAGACCATGGTGAGGCAGGCTGTCTCCCTGCAGCCCATGAAGGTTCATGGTGGAGCAGATATCCACCTGCAGCCCATGGAGGGCCCCACGCCTGAGCAGGTGGATGTGTCCAAAGGAGGCTGTGAGCCCCTATGGGAAGCCTGTGCTGAAGCAGGCTCCTGGCAGGACCTGTGGACCCATGGAGAGAGAGAAGCCCACACTGGAGCACGTTTGCTGGCAGGACTTGTGATCCTGTGGGGGACCCACGCTGGAGCAGTTTGTTTCTGAAGGACTGCACCCCATGGAAAGGACCCACGCTGGAGCAGTTTATGAAGAACTGCAGCCTGTGGGAAGGACTCACATTGGAGAAGTTCGTGGAGGACTGTCTCCTGTGGGAGGGACCCGACGCTGGAGCAGGGGAAGAGTGTGAGGAGTCATCTCCCTGAGGAGGAAGGAGCAGCAGAGACAGTGTGTGATGAACTGACCGTAACCCCCATTCCCCATCTCCCTGTGCCGCTGAGGGGGAGGAGGTAGAGAAAATCAGGAGCAAAGTTAAGCCCGGGAAGAAGGGAGGGGTGGGGGGAAGGTGTTTTTAAGATTTGGTTTTATGTCTCATTACCCTACTCTGATTTCATTGGTAATAAATTAAACTAGTTTCCCCCGAGTCAAGTCTGTTTTGCCCATGATGATAATTGTTGAGTGATCTCCCTGTCCTTATCTTGACCCACAAGCTTTTTGTTATATTTTCTTTCCCCTGTCCAGCTGAGGAGGGGAGTGATAGAGCAGCTTTGGTGGGCACCTGGCATCCAGCCAGGATCAACCTACCTCACCCTCCACGAGCCAGCATACCCCCTGCAGGTACTACCTGCAAGGTTTACAAGCTCTCCAGAACCCTCCCCAGCTCCATTATCACTTGGCTCATGAATGCTGCCACATGCCAGTGCCCTCCACACCGCTCTGACAACAAACAGAGAAGTACAGCATGTGTCTACTACTCTGAGGGGAAGCTTCCAATTCTCCTGTCCTCCCAAACACAGGTCTCTTCTTTGCAAAGCTGCAAGCCTATCTGAACTCCTGCTGCCCCCAACCACCCCACGCATAGCTTGTGAGTGCCGTCACACTTTCACAGTAAATTGAAGCCCAACAAGAACGTCAGCCAGTTCATGGCAAAGCTGTTCCATCACACACACCACCAGATACCTTCTCCTGAGAGAACAAATCCACCTGAGCACATACCTCAGATGCCCCAGATATAGCTCACAAGCACCACCACACACTACTGTCTCATATATAGCCCTCATAATAAATTAAGGCTCAGCAAAGGCAAAAAACAGTCTGGGGTAAGGCTCTCACAACCCCATCACCAACAGATCCCTTCTCTCAAGGCTATGAGCCCATGAGAAGTCCCACCTCTCACCTGACCTCACACTTAGTTCATGAGCATTGCTGCCAGCACAAGCTCCTGTCACCCACACTGGCCTCACAGCAACTGGAAGCTTCCCACTCCAGGGCCAAGCTCCCCTTGCCCCAATGGTCTCTTCTCACAAGGCTACAAAACAGCCTGAATCTCAACAACCTCTTACTTCGCTCATGAGTACCTTTGCTCTCACAGAAAATGGAAACATAGTAAAGGTATCTACTGCTTCAGGATGAGAATGTGGCCGCCCCTGCACCCTGGCAGGTCCCCTCCTGCAGCTCTGTGAGCCCCCTGTACTGAGGCTGATGAGCTAACAAAGCTCACGCACATTTTCACCCCAAGCCGCCTGCACACCGAAGAGAAACCCAGCACAGCACTCCGTGTCCCAATCTACCCCCTCGAGCACTCCTGCAGACTCCTTTGCACCTGACCTGCATGAAGCACTCACAGCAAATTAAAGACTAAGACAGGCGTCAGCACCTTTAAGATGAGCCTCTCCCATTCCCCGTGCCACCAAACCCACGCTCTCAAGGCTACGAGCTCCCCCGAGCAACACCTAACCCCACACCGACTCCCCCCCCAGGGCCGCCCGCACACCGGCCATCAGTGTCCCCCGTT